CCAGTTTAGAGATCTTTCCCCATATGGACAAGGCTTTAATCATCTGTCTTTAGTGTGCCAAAACTCCAACTGAAAAATATCAGTCCTCTCTTTGCAACCTGTTCTTTCACATGAATCTGCCTGCAGAAGACCAGCTGTGAAATTCTAACTATGTTGACCTTTAAGCTGACAGCGCTGCATTTCTGAAGTCAGGTGGTGACAGCTCACACTTACCTTAGGCAGATTTCCAGGTAGCAGCTTGCTGACAAGGACTGGCCAGCGTGTCTGGACTGGCATTGGGGGCTCTGGGATCAGAGTTGGCCAGCCTCGCTGGTGATGGCTCTCATGCACCCTGTGTTCGGACAGAGACAGGAAGCAAGGTGAAGGATCAGCTGCAAGCTGACTGTCTGGTCTCCTGTGGTGAGGGCTGATTTTGGACTTAATCTCTGGAGTGTATGCAGGTATTGGAGCCACCCTGTTCAGTGAGGTCTTTTTCCAGAAAAAGAGTCAGCTGTCAAAGCTCTGCAGTGCTGCCTGAATCTTCATGACACCTGCGTAAAGATGTACCTCATTCCTGTGCAGAGTTTTGAACTAGTTACGTCTTAAAATAGTCTTTCCACTGATAAGTTTACTCTCTTGCTGTAGAAAGACAAATTATACAGATAATATGAACCCAAGTTTCTTAAAGAAATCCACTGTCTGCTTTTTCACACGGCTTGCTACAGTGGCTCTCTTACTCTAGTTCAATATTGTTTTTCTTATTCTTGTTGCTTTATGCATTTTACGTAAGAAATGTCTTACAGTATAGCCTTTCAGGAGATCATGGTTTACTGTAATACACAGTATTGTAAACCCCAATACAAAAGGATACGTTCTTTTTGTGAGTCATGCTCTAATTTTCTGTAGTAAGCCATGCTTTCTATATTATCAGAGAAGTAATACTTTCAAAACCAGAAGCTTTAAGCAACTATGTGGTCCTGGTTCATTGACCTTTCATCAGCAAATCAGTAAAGAGCAGCATGGAAAAGGCCAGGAGATGCCAGGTAGAACTTCACCTCCTGGGGATGACTTGGAGGGAACTGGAGAAAAGTTCCTGATCACCATAAATCATCTGCCACTGAGGAAGCATGAAGGGCTTAGTCTTCCACAGACCAGAAGGAACCCTTTCCATGTAATGTTTTTACCTCTAAAACCCTGCAAGCGTAAGAGGACTTCTCAATTTCAGATGAAGATGTCCAACGGTTCAGTTCTATTTCCTCTTGAGTTTGGTTCATGCAAGTTGTTTCATGCCACATCAACAGAATTGGGTTGATTTACAGATCATAGAATCATTTAGGTTGGAACCTTTAAGATCATTGAGTCGAACCATAAACCTAACATTGCCAAGTCCACCACTCAACCAAGTCCCTAAGCACCACGTCTACACATCTTTGATACCTGATGCTTTTCTCCCCTATCTTGTGGCTGTCACTTTCTCTTCTACAGGAAGATTGGGATTGAAAAGGCCATTGAATGTAACAGGATATAGAGATATATATAGATATAGATATATCAGTGTGGTGCCTTCATTTTCTTCTGGGCTTCAAACACTGCCCTGATAAGGTACCATTCTTACACTAGGCTGTGCAACAAAAACATAAGACTTTGACTCAATGTCATGGCATTGAACGAGGTCTTTCAAATTGAGGGGAAACATATTTTGCTGCCTGTAATTCCATATTCAAATAAAGAAAAGCCATTGGTGTCCTGTAGTAGATCTCTGATGCTGCAAACACGTTCATCTGTCCTTTCAGATTGTGTATGTTGACTCTTTTTTTTTTTTTTTTTTTTCTTTCCTGTGCTGGTATCTCTTGTGATGGTTCATGACCTTTGATTTGCACTCTGAGTGCGTTCATCTGTTAGAACAGTCAGTGAACTAGGGAGGTATTCCAGTTCTTGCCAGCAGGAAGGCATAGTCTGTGAAAAGGTTATTGCTGCCAGTCTGTCTGACCCTGAGGTGTCTTCCCACATGGGCTGAGGGACACACACATTTCATTTTTTTTCGAGTAGGTTTGTATAGCTAACACAAGGAATTGCGTTTCAGTATGAACATGTGTAGTCTGGCACTGTCCTGTTCAGCCATGCTTATCAGATGGTTTGGGGTCAGCACCCCTGCGCAAGGAGTACCCAGACACCAGCAACCTGCATTTCATGCACAGATGTAAATCAGTTGTTCTATGTGGAAAATACAGCTTTTTGAAGGTCCTGAGCTGTGTTAATTGGGGAAAAAAAAAAAAAATCTGAAAATTAATTCCTATTTTATGTCCGAGCATATGTGAACATTTTTTGGTGTATTTATTTTTGCTAATGGGTAAGTTTTCAAAGTAAATTATCAGCTAGGTGATATTTTCTTATCCCAGCGTGCTCCCAGCTGTTTTATGTTATTTCCTTCCAAGTATTCATTCACATACAAGGTAATTTCTTCTCTTCTAACTAAACGTTGCATTGATGTTGTTATTTTAAGTCTCTGGGTTAACAGTTTTCTTTCTGCGGTGAGTTTTGCCTGCTTTTACTTCAAAGTCATTTCTGTTTAGGTCTTCCTGGTACTACGTGCCATTACAACAATAAATACCAGGACGTTGGTTCCTCTGCATCTTTGGTTGATTGGTTTTAAAAGGAGTAATTTAATGCAGCCATAGCATAACATTTTGCTAACTGTGTATTTAAATACATGTGTACACATACATATGTAAGGACAGAAACAGTGCCTATCTTAAAGTGAAGAGAATAACATTTCACGTCCTAGCAATGTTAAAGTATGGTTGTTTAATACTGTGAACTGTATGAACCTGAACTGATCTGAAGCTTTGCCTCTCTGCATAATAAAAACTTATTATTTTCCTCTTCTAGCATGCATTGAAGGGCCCAATATCTAAGTTTTATGAACACTGACATTATTGTGTTAGTTTGGCGTTTTATGAAGCAGTTATTTAAACTTACTCATGTGTATCTGGACTCGCAGATGTTGCCACGCATACTTCAGTGTGATGTTTAGATATTTGATCTTTGCATGTCACTTTTTGCGTGATGTGATCAAATTATTGAAAGTGTTTTGCTTTCATTTTCCTTTTCTATGGTTGAGAAGAGTGCAGGTGAGTTGTTCAGTTAGAAAATAAAAATGGACAAGGTTGAAGATGAATGGGCTTTAAAACACATGAGACCTTGGAGTCAGGAACTACATACACTTGAATGCAGTAGAGGCTACGATGGGGAACATTTAGAAGACGATGTTTAGAATATTTGGCAAATTTCTGGAACTGATTATATTAATGTTGCTGATTTCAGATATTGGGCCATGGGTGAGGCTTGTTATTGAATTTAAGTGTAATGATATTGTCCAGTTTTTCTTCTGCAGAATTTGCTCAGATTAGTCCTCAAGTGGTAAATCAGTAACTTAAGAACTCTAAGTGGCTCAGGGGAAGAAATAGTCTGGTTTGTGCTATGGAGTAAGAGTTATTTCAAGTTATCATGCTATTTGTGTGCGTGTGCGCGCGCATAAATGTGGATAGCAGTAATGAGAGATTCAGAAATAAGCAACCGTGACAAAACATCTAGTAAGACACTTGAGGATAGACTTACAAGAAGCTTTGAATTTGAATTCAAAAAAGAGATTAAGAGCAGCAATATAACAACAGGTTATTCATCTGTCATTCACTGAAGGTGTTTTGAGGACTGGCTTTGAAGGTTGGAAACAAATTGCCAGACTAGATGGGCCACGGCTCATTGATATGGTGCTGCCTTTATTCTTGGGGTTTTTTTCTTGCTAGCTCAGCTCACTGTGCTGGTGTCAGCCTTCATCGTGCCTGCTCAAAGTGCTGGTGGAAACATCAGTCTGGGAGGTTACTTGTTTCTCCCTGCAGCTTGACAGTCCTTGGAGTGGACCAGAGCAGCTGGTTAATAGCACTAAAGCAGTTCAGCTGGGAAGTTTAGAAGAGCGCTGGCTCCCTTCTCAGCCTCTGGAAAGCACGTGTCCAGCACAACGTAGCTGCACCTGCTGGGGTACTGCAGTTTGTTTCCACATAGGTGATGCCTCTGCCTTTCTAAAAAGCACTCCATACTCGCTCTTATATGCATCTATAATCCCAGGTAAATCTAAGAATGTCTCTAATTATGATATGAATTGCTGGTGCATTCTTAAGTTAGTAGGAGGTTTGTCAGGAGAGCCAGTATTTCATTTCTGTGGTGGCACAGATGAGTTTTTGATTTATTTTTTCCCCTGCCCTATTATAAAACCAATTGAAAACATTAAGTTTGTTTGTGACAATCGAGGTATGTGCAAAATGATCACTCAGCTCTTTTGTTCTTGTCGTTTTGAACTAGCAGTCTTTTAGATGTTGTAAGTAAACCCTATGTGGGTTGTTTGATTGGGGGAGTGTTCTGTTTTGATAAGCTGACTTTGATTAGCAGAAAAATATGCTCTGCTACCCTGCATTGAGAAGGGAAGGTGCTATGATGAAGAGGATAGAGTACATCACAACTGCAAATATTTTTCTATATGCTGTGATTTCATGTACTTGAAGCTAAACCTTATTAGAAGAGCTAGTTTATCTGATGGTATTAGATAGCTGCTGTATTAGAACAACTCTTGGTAAGTAGCATATTTTTTTTCCTCTCTTTATAGGCCAGGTCAAACCAGGCTTTGTCACCTTACTTTAAGCCTCAATAATTCAGTATGTTTTTCTGGTATTCGCTTATACAGGAACTGCACAACAGCAGTACCAGCTGCGCATCGCTTGCATCAGGGGCAGACTCATGGAAGAACTGTTTGTGTCTTAGTAACATTCTTTCTTTTCTTTTTCTTTTTCTTTTTCTTTTTCTTTTTCTTTTTCTTTTTCTTTTTCTTTCTTTCTTTTTCTTTTTCTTTCTTTCTTTTTCTTTCTTTTCCCCTTCTTTCTTTTCCCCTTCTTTCTTTTCCCCTTCTTTCTTTTTCCCTTCTTTCTTTTTTCCCTTCTTTCTTTTTTCCCCTCTCCTGTTCCCAGCAGATATATGGAGTGACCATTCATTTCAGACAGACCCAGACTTACCACCTGGCTGGAAGAAAATCAATGACATTGCTGGGATCTACTACTGGCACATACCAACAGGAACAACTCAATGGCAACGTCCCGTGTCCATCCCAACAGATCTCCAGGGCTCACGAAAAGGATCGCTTGGTTCCATTACTCCATCTCCTACTCCAGAAACTGAGGTAACATACTATGTCTCCTTGTGGGCTGCATACTGTAAAGAAAATTGAAATAACTTTTTGAACTTGCAGGTTTAATTGCTAGCTAAACTGAGCTTAGAATGTGGGGCCTAATAATATCTCAAAGTGTAGCTATTTGTTGATAATACGTCGTAAGTATCTATTTTCTATTTGCGTTTTCTAGTGGCTGTGCCTCAAGAAACATCCTAAACTTTGGATGTGTAAGATGAAATCAGACATATCTAAGATAAATTAGAGAGCCAGTGCCTGATGAATGTGAAACTACTGTGGTTCTGTAGCACGCGCTGAAGCGTTGCTGCATTGTATGGATACAGGATACATAAAATTTTTGCACATTATAGCAGTCTCTTGGTTGGACTCTTTGCATCTTCTTTCTTTTTGCTTCACTTGGTAGGAGTATCACACAAAGATTTGAGATGCTAATTCCTTTACAGCGTAGTTTCTACTGAGTAAACATCAAGTATTCTCAAGTGTAAGTGACTTAACATTCTGCCAGTACAAAATATCTGTGCAAGGGGATCACTGTGTTGTAGTCAGTCTCTAACTAGAAACAGAAACAAATGCACTCTTTCACATGTGCTGAAAGAGCAATATGTGATACTGCCTTTTAAAATAATCCTTTCAGGCACAATCCAGGGGGTTGATTGATGTCATATAAGTAGAAAAATAAAATAAATTATCAGAAAGAATAGTATGCTTCAAAAAATGCAATCCCTTAGTTTTAGTACGCTGGGAAGACTTCTATGGAATGAAATACTAATATAAAATCAAATTGTTTTAAAATTAATTCTTTTTCATACTAACTTTTCAGAAGAAGGTCCACAGTTCTATGAAATCAAGGCAAGTCTTTGTACTAGCTTTGAGTTTGGGATCAGGCAATCCTTAGGGTTTATTTATTTAAAATGTATTTAAATAGGACATTTCTTCTGTTCTTGACTTTGTTGACATATGCACCAAAATAACTTAAATGAAAGTTAAGAGGAGTTAAGGACACTCAAGTATGTGTTACCATCTTGACTCTGAAACTTTTATCCTGTATAGGCTTAAACATGTACATTCTTCTTCATTATTTTAGAAAGATTGCTCCCACATGTTCGTAAACGCTACTCATAAGGTTTGCAAACTTGACCACAACATTTCAGTTATGGTTTACATCAGTCAAGCTCCCGTGGAATGTGCTGTGCACTAAGCGCATTGGAAATTATTTCTGAGAGGGTTCACGGAGAAAGAACAGCAATTGTTATCATTCAGTTAGAAAAGAAAAAAAATCCAGAAATGCTGAATGTAAAGTGCTGGACATACTTTCAGTATAAGTTCCTGTACTGTACACGAGTGATATAACTTCACCATCAACTATTTTTCTTACTGTAAAATATGGAAAACAGGGCATTAATTAGTAAGTTATAGATGTCTTTCACAAAAACCCAGAAATCCGCATGGTTGGTAAATTGCAGAGGGAAAATGTGTATATTCATTTCAAATATTTTTCTACCTCTGTTTAAAATGTCTTTACAATGAAAATTTCAGACCTGCTGGTAATGTGGCATATGTACTTTTAACCTTACAAAATTTTGTTTGCTTTAAATGAAGAATAGTTTGTGATTATAAATAACGATCATTAATTTTCAGGAGCATCATGGAGAATATGAAATGTATGAATTATAACAACATAGATTTTAATACAGTGTAGTTGTATTAAATAAGACGTTTGAGGAGTCATTCTAAAATGCCATGCATGTGAGTACATTGTAGGCTCATCTAGGTTTTGATACGGCAGTTCTGATTCAGCAAGGAATTTGATCCAGCAAAGATTTATGCATATAAAGTTCTGTGAGAGCACTGAGACCATATGCTGTGATGTAAAAGATGATACAGAAAATAATTGAGTTTCCAAGATTTGTATTAGTCTGATATTATATGGTTATTTTAATTGTAGGTATAGATGAAGGCATTTGTCTCTTGAAGGTTTCTGCAATCATTGATAAGCATCTTACATACCGTTATTTAAACAATACTGATTTTTTGACTCAGTGGTTATTAAGATAGCATTGCAATATACCAGCAGACTTACATACAGTACTGGTGTTCAAAACGAGAGTGTGATTTGGGCTCAGGACTTTGTGCACTGCCAAATTCTGAAACTGCTACAAAGAAGGGGCATAGCTGGAGTTATAATGAGAACTGTTAGGAAAAGTCTTGCATTTCTTGAAAACACGGATGTTGAGCTTTATTAAGAGGGAACTGGAGGAAGAATCCTTTGGGATTCAGCTCGTTCTGAGCAGAACCCTGGTACAGAGCAGTACCAGGGAAATCAGCCATGGTGTTGGGATTAAGAGTAGGGGTAGATAATGAAACAATTTGTAATCTAGATTTAACAGTGTCAGCTATCATGAATCTTTGGTTCTTCATCTCTCTGTGATCAATACTTGCCAGCACCTCATCATCTCCAGGTCACTTGCAGGTGATAGTGGTTTCAGTCCCTGTTCACTGCACTGCAGCCTACCCCAAGTGCCCCCCCTCTCCCTCCCTGTGAAGGATTAACCTGGATGTCTGCGATACGGTCAATCTGGCGCCTCATAAAAGAGGTGGAATTCGATCTAGAATAGGGGCTCCCAAACGCCTTTATCCTGGCGCTACCCTTGGCAGCAATAGTTGTCATGGACAGCTTCCAGCCCCAGGTTGGACCGCCTGTGAGCTGTGTACTGCTGGTTCCCTCACTGCTGTTTGGAAGCCTGTGCTCCGAGATAATCTGGTTTGGGAGGGCTGGTTTAGCTCATTCCCCTGTGTTGGAATTTGTATTGCTTTCTTCTCAAAAGGTTGGGGGATATATAGGTTTTAGGCAGATGAAAGAGTATAATCTAGGATTGAAGATGGCATGGGTAGCATTTCATATCTGTCCCAATAGGCTTCCGTGAGTCCATAAAAAATACTTTTATCTTTATCACATTTGTCTGTGAAGCATCATGTGCTAGTCTTGAGTTTATTCGGGCTCTTACAGCTTTTGAGTTTATCAAATAAACATTTAGAAACATTTTCCTTTTTTGCAGAGTAATGCCTTTTTACCCTTTGTCTTGTTTCCTCCTTTTATTTTCCTTTTTTAAATTTTTATTTATTTATTTCGTGTCTCTGTCTCTTAAATGATATGATATACAGAAGCTTTGCTTCATTTGGTAGAATGTGGCTCACAGCTGAGGGCAGTCAACAAAGAACAGATCAAGTCAGCCATTTTTATGTTGTAGCTTACTCTGGATATTTAGCATAAACAAAAGCAGTTACTTACTATTGTTGAACAGAGAATCAGAAAAAAATGGGTGGGGAGGAATGATGCTGTAATGCATACAAATGGAAAAAAGGGGTTCAAAAAGGAAAAAATGCAAGAATGTCTTACTTTTGCACAGGCTGCAAGGCAATTTTTCTTTCACGAGATAATCAGTAAATTTCAATCCAAAGCAATTATGGGTTAAGCATTATGCAAAAATCCTGCAGATTTAACAAAAATGCTAATGAATGCTAAATATGAATAACCTGGAACATTCCTTCCCTTCCTCCCCCTCAAAAGCATGAAAATGTATTTTAGTTTTGCACAGCTGATTCAATTTGACTTTGTTTTAGATGGCTTTTTTCTCCTGTGTGTTGCCAAATTACTTCCTTTGTGAATCCTCGTCTTTTGTAACGTTCTCTTCCAAATCTTAGAGATTTTGCTGCCTCTTTTCCATTTTCTGTGCAGAGAAAAAGCTGTAGGGTTTAATTTTCAATAAGAGCTTCTTTGACATCATGCAGAATTTGGTGATGTTAGTTGTGTCTTCTCATAGCCTGATTCATCCCAGGCCTGGATCACCTCTAGAAGTTCTTCTGTAGGTAACGTAACTACTAGCAGCTAATAATTAAAGAGGAGGAGGGGCTTAGTGGGAAAAGGTAGTAACTCTTTCACTTCAAAGGCATGTTAGGGAAGAGTTACTCCTGGGAGTTGGTTCTCACAAATCATTCCTCTAGTGGGGATGTACTGAGAATGCTTCTGATATGAGAGGTCCACCCTGCAAATTAATGCATTGGGCCATATTAATAGGTACCACTTCATCTTGAGGCTGAGCTGGACAACCTGGGAGAGCACTTCTTAAAAAAGGGCCCCTTAAAAGGGCCCACTAATAACAGGAATACTTGATTTGGTGAAGCTACAAAGAGGTGGCTCTGGGTCTCTCAGCAACCACCTGGCTCTTGTTCAAGACTGTGGGATTTTTGTCCTTGTGGGGAAAGGAGAGGGACGACTCAAACATCAGCTGCTCCTCCCGGGTTTTACAGAGAAGGTTGAACCTCAGGTTGCTGTCACTGTCACGCTAAATGCACTGCTACTTGCTTGATTGTACCAGTGAATGCCTCTGAAAATTTTGAGAAAGTTGAATGGAAAATGAGAGGATGGGTGATTTGTTTGGGGTTTTTTCTGGGGGGAGAGGGGTTGTTCTGTTTTTAAAAAAAGCTGCTAGACTTTACAAAACTAGTTTTTCAGCAAGAAATCTCTCTGCACTCCTTACTAATCCTCCTTCCCTTCACTGTCCTTTTCTTGTGCCTTCTCTCTAGAAATATTTGATTTTTACCTTGTATGTATCTTATCCTTGTATATATTGTTGTGTTTCAGTATTTCTAGTTCCAGTACTGTTAGAGTCTTTTAACCAAAGTGCCAATCAAATGGAAATCCTAATGTTTCCCCTTAATTGCTGTTTATCAAAGGCTGTAGCAGCTGTGGCCAACATTCATATTCAGATTCATTTTGCTTGCTTTTAAGATCATAGTTAAAGAGTAATTTCATTGTCTGTTCCTAATTTATATTAACTTTCCTTGTTTCAATCATTTGTTTTGGTAAGTAACTGTTAGAGGCATGTCTTCTCTCCCCTTTCCTCCAAATGCCATGGTATAGTGGAGTAATTAGTTGAAGTTTGAGGTGATCTGTTCCCTAACCCATCCTGTAAATATCAATGCTAACAACAGTGTCTTGTGTTTTTTTCTTTTTCTTTTCTTTTTTTTTTTTATTTTTATCAATGTGCTTCTTCCTGTGTGAATAATTATGTGTCTAGAAACAGCCATGGAGTGATTTTGCTGTACTGAATGGGGGAAAGATTAATAGTGACATTTGGAAGGCAAGTATCTTGTCAGATTTTAGAACCTTTAATACTATTACCCTTGGTTTTTGCATGGCAGTGGCTGTTTTTTTTTCCCCCTTTTATTTTTCCATGAATGTCATTCATAACCTAGGCCAAAGTGAATGGGGGTACTGCTAGGGATGTCTAGCTCACAAACATGCTGCCTTTTCTGATCTTTCCACTTGGAATGGATTCAGTCTAAACTAGCAGGGCAACTGCCATGATGTAACGAATAAGATGCCTGCACTGAATGAAATGCAGCTTGAGAATATATGCATGCCTCTTTTCAACTTCAGCCAGAAATACTATCGCTTCTTTGCAGGGAGGATTTAATTTCCCTTTGAAATAAGAAATAACATGATGGTGTACTTAATACTATATTAATAGCACTTAATACTATACTAATAGCACTGCCTTTATCTCTAGGATCTGCATGCAGCCACTGTGAACCCAGACCCAAGTCTGAAAGAGTTTGAAGGAGCAACGTTACGCTATGCCTCTTTGAAGCTCAGGTACAATGACTTCAGAAGTTTCCATGGAGTGACCAGCTCCATTTTGTGCTGTGCTGTAATTTTTATATGATTTTAAGATTGATTGATGTCTTTTATTTTCTGTAACAGAAATGGTCCACAATCTGATGATGATGATTCTTGCAGCATCAACAGTGATCCAGAAGCCAAGGTCTGTAAAAAGATCCACAATGGGATAACAATTAAAAATTTGCAATTGTAAACAGAACTTGCAAGGTGCAGAATGTCTCCTAAGTTTTGAAATTAACAGGACTCCTCCTCTTGGCACAATGTAGATTGACCATTGCAAGCTTAATTCCATCAAAGGAATTTGCAGATTTAAAGCTTCATTCAATTTGGTCAGGAAAGTGTGACTTATTTTAAAATTATATAAGCTGAGAAATTGAATGTTACAGCTAAAGATTCTGCTGTCCAATTGTAATAACTGACTCTGTGGACAACTAACTGAGTTTTCTGTCCTGAGTGAGAGGGGGCTCTGTTGTTTGTTGTGGCTGGATAGCTTCCTGGGGCATTCGATGACAGAATTTGCTCTTTATTCTCAAGTTTCTCCCTTTTATAGGTACTGTTCCTTGCTTACGTGGCTGCTTGAACTCACAGCTAGTAACAAGGAAGTTACTTTTTAGAACAAGGAACTTTATATTTTAGAACAAAGAATGCAACCTAGTTTGAGGATAAAATTTGTAGAGAAAAATGAGACCATTATGTGAACAAGCACCATAATTAAATCAGAGCCTTTACATACCTCCAGATTTGTCTTGTTGATGGTTTTGCCTTGTGCTTGCATCCATTTTTCAAGGATGTATATGAATCTTTATAATTGGAAATGCAAGTAATTTAAATAAGTGTTTTGGCTGTGCCATACACTTGCAGTGACTGACAGGATCAGAAGCTACCTATATGCAGGAAGATAGTATGTAACAGAGTTAATAATTATAATAGCATTAATGATATATTTTAGGAGAGAGAACAGACTGATCAGGGTACTTAAACTTCTTTGTCATCCTGATTATTTGGCTTGTGATGTTTAAATCAGATGTGAATAAATGTGTTTTGCTTGGCAGGCTGGCAGTTAAAAAGCAAGTGTTTCAGCTGCGCTTGTTGCAATGACAGGCACTAAATTCTGAGTGCAGTAACCGGAGTTGGAGGAGTGATGAGCACTAGGTACCTGTTCTCAGAATCAGAAAGCTGTTCCTTTCAAGATAAGCCTTACGGTATGGAAAGCATTATAGGGAGGCAGTACTTTGATACGTCTGACTCTTTAACAGGTGATTTGCACTGGGTAGAATTAAGAGTCCTTCCTGCACGGAGAAGTGTGGCAGTATTTGTGTAACTCGTGTCATCACCTCTCTTCCCTCTCTGGCTTGATGTTTAAACTTCAAAATTTATGGATCTGATATCCATCCAGTGTCTGTGAAATGGGTCAATGCCAAAAGCTTGTCTTCTGCTGTCTGTCACAGCTGGTTTTGTTTCTCCTCTTCAGGCAAAACCATGCTGATGACACTTGAATGAGTATTCAAAACTGAGCACTGAAACATTCACAGAAGTGACTGAGAGGAGCAAGACAAGAAATAGAGGAGAAACTATACTTGCTTGGTTTGTTGGGGTTTTTTTTAATCAGTTGAGTCAAAGCACGTTACCTGCTGGCTGTCACTGCACGATGGGGATGTTGTGCAGGGGCAGCAGTGACCATGTGCGCGGTCCTGTGGGTGAAGCTCAGCAGCGCTGATGTTGCTGTGCAGTGGGAGAGGCTGTGGGCAGAGCTGTTCAGTGCATCTGCCTCTGCCCCGAGGGCAGGACAAGCTGTACCTCTTGAGTGGCTGTACCTCTGTCCTGGTTTCAGCTGAGAGGGTTCATTTTTTTTTCTTTTTCACAGTAGCTAGTATGGGGCTATGTTTTGGATTTGTGCTGGAAACAACGTTGATAATATAGAGATATTTTTGTTATGTGGACCTGTTATTGAGCAGTGCTTACACAGAGCCAAGGCCTTTTCTGCTTCGCGCACCACCTTGCCAGTGGGATGGCTGGGGGTGCACAAGGAGTTGGGAGGGGACATAGACAGTACAGGTGACCCAAACTAGCCAAAGGGGGTATTCCATACCATGTGACATCATGCTCAGCATAAAAGAGGGGCTAGCTGGGGAGGGGCGGTAGCAGCTTCAGGACGCGTGGCTCGGGGACAGTCCGGTTTCAGGACAGGTCTGAGCATGCGGTCTGAGTTGTATGGTCCTCAGGTGAGAAACTGCATTCTGTATCACCAGTTTCATATACTCTGTTAAGTACTGTTTTGTTTTGTTTTGTCTTCCCCTCTCCCTTTGCTATCCTAGTAAACTGTCCTTATACCAACCCACCAGGTCTTGTCTTTTCCTTCCCATTCTCCTCCCCATCCCACTTTGGGGGGGGGGGGGGGGGGGGGGGGGGGGGGGGGGGGGGG